TGGCGGGCAGGGGCTGCCTGGGTGAGTAATGTACAACAGGGCTTTTGTCTCCGAATCTGCTCCTGCCAATTTGCTCCCATGGGCAACCCTTACGCGGATTTCTCATTACTATCAGCAGAACAAAGCCAGTCAAGTAAGGATTGCATTAGCATGCAATCGTTATTATTAATTATGTTATTATTATTATGCAGTTCTGAATTTGAAGTCTTTTCCTAGCAGTGGAAAACAAATAGGCCGAGAATATCCTTCCAATTGTTTGTGTGCCTCTCCAGAAATAACAAAGCTTGGGTTTGCTATTTAGGCCACTTGGCTTGAATACAGTCTCACTGTCCCTTCAAGCTTACCAGGGCTAAGTAAGCAAGCATCTTCTGAAAGTTTTTTTATTATTATTTTATTTTTTGCAGCAGAGAGAAATGCAAAGGAGCAGGAAGAACTCGCCCAGGAAAGGAAGCTATTCGCTGAAGCAATCACAGAACTGAAACGTATAGAAGAAGAAAAATATGCAAGGTATTTTTATGCTGCATGTTCTTTTCATTGCAGGCCAATCTTTTAAACTTCCAAGTTGGCTAATTTTCTTTTTCAGCTAACTGCAAGTGAGCACTTGGCTCTCTTCTGTACCGAGAGGCTCTGCTACGAAACCTAACAGCTCCAAACTGCTCAGTAGCAGCCCAATTATACTGCAGTTGGTATTAGATTACTGATTCTGATCTCATTGTACAAATAATGGTGTTTCATTACATATACTTGTTTTGGGCTCTTTGGACCATCGCATAATTTAAACTGATAATGTTTTGTAAACACATTCTTTGCAATTCTGAGCTGTTATTAGGAGTGGCCAAGGTTTGGGGAGGAGGGTGTAATGAAAGGTTAGCTCACTACTTCCCTAGGGGAATTTGGGCATTCGGGCTTAGTGCTGCACTCCACCCACACAGCTCCCTGGAACAATAACACAGTCACCAAAATATCAGACTGGCACCCGTCACCCCCTTCCACGGGTTGCTTTTGCCTTGCTGTTCCTCAAGGCAAGACTATTGTTATTCGCAGTAGCTGAAACAGACCTCTGGGTGTCATGACAAACCTAGGGCAAAGCACCTTCATTTCACCCATTCAAAGACCTTTTGGTACTTCTGCTCCTTGTCAGCACAGGTGAGCGGGAGGTAAACAAGTAGCTCCTTCCAGAGCTACTGCTGCATCTCCAATAGTTTTATCAGTAACGACCTCTTAGGTAGGGCACAAATCTTGCCCTGTGGAAGTAAACATGGGGGCCTTCGCTTCAGATACGCTTCACTTTGCAGCGAGGACGGCACTCATCCAAGCTGCGATGGGGCTGCTGGTGCTTAAATATCTAGTGATTTCTGCTCTCAAAATGCCGGAGCACATCGGGAGGCTTCCCCTGCCGCTCCAGCGCGCAGCACAAGTAATGCGTGACAGGGGAGTGGAAGGATGATTTCTTGTGACAGCCTTTTCCTCGAATAACAGCACGGCGCTGGAGCAGGGGCCGGCAGGCTGCCTTCCCTGTCGGAAGCGCCTGATCTCCGGAGCAAGGGAGGGGAAACTGGGTGTGAGGATGCCACAGCAGTGAGGCACAGCCAGGAGAGGGCCCAAACCCGCCAGACTCGTTCTCTGTCTTCCCCTTGCCCCTCGTGGGGCAGAGAAAACATGCTCATTACAAGGGTTCCTCTTCTGTTCTGTTTTGTCAAGCACTGATTTTGCAGTCTGCTTTGTAAGAGAATGCACTTCATGCTCCAAAGAACTTCAGGTTAATTACCAATGTCACATTTGTTTAATAGACTAGCAGTTACTGTTAACTCCTAGCAGGTGTTTTGAGTAGCTCTTTGGTCTAAGGTTGCACATTAGCAGATAAAAAAATGAGTTATTTTTAACACATACCTCATAAATAAGTTATTCATATGTCATTTCCAGAAAAGTAAAGGAAGCAAAAGAATACCAAGAGCAACTCAAGGCTCAGATTGCCTATCAACAACAAGCCCGTAATGCTGAGGAGGAAGAGAAGCGGCGAGAATATGAATCAGCCCTGGCAGCAGAGAGAGCAAACCAAGAAAAAATAGAGGATATTCTAGCAAGGTCTTCTGTGACACTAGCAGAAACTCATCCCTTGAGAAGGAGACTCATATCGAGCACGCAAGAGCATTTATGATAATTTTCACTTGTTCTAGACTGCACTTAAAAACATTTTCTAAGGGCGTTTATAACTAATTAGCAGGTCCCTCTCCCATGTTGTGCTCAAAATATTGCACTGGCAAATAGAAGAAATATGATTGCTTTAAAGGTTACTTTCTTCTTATCGGATTTTCTTTGACAAAATGATTGATCCAAATCAAAGTGATATTTTTTAATACAAGCACTGTACATTCTCCGTAGCACAATACTATATTATTATGACATGAATGCTGTGCAGGCATTCCTCGGAATCTGCAAAAAGGAAACTTTCCAGAAGAGCTTCAACCAACTTTTATTAAAATGCCTTTCAAAGTGCAAATATTTGCAAACCTTTTTGTATTTAGACAAAGGCACTTGCTGACACATCTGCATTTTCCTTGTTTAATATAAAATGATGACTCTATTTTACTATGGCTAGACCTATATTCATTTTATATGTGTGTGTGTGTTTATATATATGTGTATATATATGTAAAACTGTAAGTATTCCGTAGCTTTTGAATGATCTGTGGGATATCAGAGTCCTGAGACTAGTCTCCGAGGTCTTTATTTGGACAGACTTACTCATGCAGGAAAAAGAACATTCTGATTTTTTTGGGGGGGGGGCAGCAGGTAGGGAGGAATTCTATTCTTTATCCTGTTGGTGGTGAGCCTGCCCTTTCAGACTGTGTTAAATTGTCCCTAACGTCATAGCTTTGGCACACGTGGATTGGGGCACAGGCACTAACAAAGTTTTAAAGCAAAGCACTACGAGAGGGCCAGATGTTACCAAGAAGGTCTGGGAAGGGTGTCCGAAGGGGGAAGAAGCTCACATCCTTGCAGCCTTCCCACTGTCAGCTCTCCCTGCTCAGGAGCTGGTCACCCTTTTAGGCAGGAGGAGGAGCAGGGGGCACAGGCAGACAGGTGAGAAAAACCCACTCTCCCTGTGGTGCTCCCCTCTACCAGCTCCCTGGGATGATTTTCTTTATTTTACCTCTATGCTTTGAGAGGAGGGAGGTGAAGAACACATTTGCAACCTCAGTCTTTTCTTGCTAATGGACTCTGTGGCACTCTAAAAGTTTAATCTTTCCCACTCTTTTCTATTTGAGCCAAAGGATGATCAAGAAATTTATTTCCCTCTCTGTGATGGACTCCTGGGGTGGCCATGGGTAAGGAATGTAGATTTTCTTTACTAAGGTGACCCAACTTTGAAGAGAACGTAATAGCACGCTTGTGATTCCAGGATTAGTTAATACTAATTCAGCATTAATTAAAGCAAGTCATTAAAGGCTGTGAAACAGTCATTGGGGATACCCAACACGTGAGAGGTACGAAATAGCACGTTCATGAGCTCAGTGAGCCATAATACTTTTTAAAAAATTACATAATAACCCAAAGGAGCTCAGAACTCCTGCCTTCCCAGGCAAAGCTCCTCTCCCTGTCAAAGGAGCATGAGTGCAGGTTTGGGAAGCTTGATATCTGCTCGGTAACGGCATCGTGCACGCAGCGACCAAACTCTTGGGAGAGAAACCTTGCAGTAGGTGAACACGCAGCTGTGCTGATCCCTTCCCTGCCGAGCGTTTTGGAGTCTAGAAGAACAGAGCGTTTTGGAGCGGATCTAGAACGAGTTGAGGTTGCTGCCGGCGGCCACATGTGTCAGCAGCTCCTCTTGGAGGCTGCGTCTCGATGCCCTGTGAACCTCCAGCTGCACAGCACAGGGGGAAGGATTTTCTGTGTCAAGACCGAGGAGTCTCCGGTGCTTAATCCTATTGATCTCCATCCCGCTCCGCTTCCTTCAGTGCTCCTGCAGTAAACTGAGCCCAGAGCAGGGCATTGTGCGTGCTTCAGAGCAGATCATACCTTTACTTCCAACCCAAACTCATGGATTTTTAAGCTGCAGTAAACATGAAGTAGGAAAATGACTAAGAGACTCTTAAGTGGCAGCTGGCGGGGCTGGAAGGAGCTCCGGAGCAGCCAGGAGGATTCACGTGCCTGGTATTTCCCGGCACGGAGAAGTCCCGCAACCAAACCCTCTATTAAGGTGGTGGTGACGGAGCAGCGTCTGATCAGTGAAACTAGGGCTGGGTGTTTGGGATGTAACCCGCCTCCTTTATGGGGAAAGAAATATAGTTAAAAGAGGGAAAGAAAAAACCCAACAGGGTTCAGGGAGGGGAGAGCTGAGGCAAGGGCAGATGAAAATGGACTTTGTGCTGGCTGGTTGTTTGGTTGTTTTTCCTGCCAAATGCTTCACCACCCTCTTTGGGAGCAGCTCTACAGAAAGGAAGGATTTTTTACTAAAAAAAAAAACGGAGGCAACGCTAAGGGAGCGCGGACACCCCCTCCTCGCCCAGGCTGCAGCCCTCAGCCCTGCTCATCATGGGGAATTCCAGGACATTAAGCACTGAGCCCCTCCTGGGGACACCGAGTGCTCCAAAGCTCTTCCCCAGTTTTTTTTTGCATCCCTTGTGTGCTAATCAGTGCAAGGAGCATCGGATGCAAGAGCAATCCAAAGGCTGAGTTGTGCCAGGCTGATCCATGCCATGCCGGGATGAACTGGGCTGTGCCAGGATGTGCCCTTTTGTGCCATTCCACATTACTCAGTCCCTTCCATGCTGGGCTGGTGCATTCCATTCCAGGCTCTTCTATTCCACTGCAGTCCATTCTGTGCCATTCCAGTCCACTCCAGGCTGTTTCATTCCATTCTGGGGCATGGTGGTCCATGCTGGTCCATTCTGTGCCAGTCCATTCCCTTCACTGCATTCTATACCACTGCATCCCATGCCAGAGCACTCTCTTCGAGGCCATGCTGGTACATTCCACGTCACTCCATTCCATTCCACTCCATCGTGTATCACTCCAGTGTATTACATTCCATGCCAATCCATTCCATGCCTATCAATTCCATGCTGCCCCAGTCCATCCCACTCCAGCATAGCCCATTCCGCGCCGCTCCATACTGTGCTACTGCAGTCCATTTCACGCGAGCTGAGTCCATTCTGTGCAAGTCACAGAATCCCAGAATGGTTGAGGTTGGAAGGGACCTCTATAGACCATCCAGTCCAACCCCTGCTCCAGCAGGGACACCCAGAGCAGGGGCACAGGGCGGCATCCAGGCGGGTTTGAAGATCTCCAGAGAAGGAGCCTCCACAGCCTCTCTGGGCAGCCTGTGCCAGGGCTCTGGCACCCTCACACCAAAGAAGTTCTTCCTCACATGGAGGTGGAACTTTCTATGTTTATTAAGTCTACTCCATGTTGCTCTGTCCCATGCTAGTGCAGTCCATTCCATGCCACTCCAGTCTGTCCTGTGCCAGTCCAGTCCAAAAGTTCCACATGAACTTAAGGAATTTTTTTTTTTTTAGCACTGGAACAGGCTGCCCAGAGAGGTTGAGGAGTCTCCTTCTCTGGAGATCTTCAAACCCGCTTGGACGCAGTCCTGTGCCACGTGCTCTAGGTGACCCTGTGTGTGCAGGGGGTTG